TACTCCGAGGGGGGGTGGGAGTTTCAACAGAGCCAATGTAGGGCCGAAATCGGACAAGGATATAGTCTAACCCACCATCAACACGCGAGGATTTCGTCCCCTCAGAGAAAGACAGTGAACCACAGCGGATCGCCGATAGCTCAAAATGAGCCGAAGCGAATAACTAGCCCTACCCCAGAAAATCAAGCACAAAACAGCTCTTCTACTAAGGAAAACGAGGATTCCCAACGTGTACCATCAAAAAGGCAACGGGCCTTAGACTTTGAATCGTTGAGTAGTAAAAGCGAGAGAAATAGCGGAGTAAGGAGTAGGGCAAGTAGGGATAACGTTAGTAACTATAACGTTAGTGGTCAGTCTGGGGACAGTAGAAGCTATAAGAGTCAAGAGGACTATGAATTTAGGGAAGTAAGGAGAAGGAAAAATCGGGACAGAAAGAACACAAATAGAAGTAGTAGTGAGGATGGCCAGAGAAAGAGAGAGGTTAGGGAAAAGAGAGTCAATAAAAGAGATAGTAGAGTAGATAATAGGGACAGGAGGAGGGGATACAAAAAGTCGGAAGAAAATAAGAGAAGAAGGAACAATTCTTTGGATTCTTCCAGTAACTCGGAATCCGAAAGTGATTCTCACACGAGCCAGAGCGAGGATCGGAAGGAGAATGTAGCAGAATCTATCCGTAGGTCGAAGGTTCTTAAAACTTTGAAAGAGTGTGATTTAAAATTCAAGGGGTATGAGAATGAAAATGCAGAGGTATTTCTAGAAAGATTGTCGGACTGTAGGGACTGTGCCACACTCTCTGACAAGGATATACTCCAAACACTCCCAATTATTTTGCAAGGTGATGCGATTATTTGGTTCCGTACCCTTCGCCATGAATTAAAAACGTGGAGAAGTTTCAAACGGGCCTTTACAAACGAGTACTTGGTGAACGTCGATGACGAGGAAATTATCGACGAACTAAAAAGTAGGACCCAAGGAAAGGACGAAAGAATTTCTTCATATTTGCGTAGCTTTCGAGTCATCCTGGGACACATGAAGTACCCACTCGACCGTAAGAGGCAAAATAAAATCGCTTTCAAAGGATTATTACCCGAGTACAGGCGCCATCTGGATCGCCAGAAGTACGACTCACTTGGCCAGATGGAGAAGATTCTGAGGAAATTCGAGAAGACGAGAAGCTTGGACGAGAAGTATGTGCCCCCTCCACCAAAAGAGAAAATGCTTTTCCCATCGGCCGCGTATAAAGGAAAATCAGAGAAAAAGGCCGGAAATAAGAGTGCGAAGAGCGAGAAGGTAGCAGCACTCGGAAATGAATCGGGATCGGAGAAAGAGTCGAGTGGGAGTAACCACTCCACTAAGAAGGATAAAAAGAAGAGTAAGGTTAAGAAGGGCAAGAAAAATGAGAAAGCTCAAGGTCAGGACGCGGTGGACGCTATAAAAAAGGTAGTGACCCCCACCCTTAGCGCTCAAGGGACCAACGAGACGACAGACCAAACGCAGCCGCAGTTTGTTTCGGTGCCGATACAAACGTTTGCAGCTATGGTAGCGGGAGGACCCAGACCTAGTTTCCCCAAAGCATTTGGACAAAAAGGGGGAAAAACGGGGCAGAGTGGCGCTCCAACACCAGCAAGTCCTAAACAAATCTTGGGACCTTGCTACAACTGCCAGACGGTGGGACACCGTGCATCGGAATGTCCCAAACGCGTTTGTTTCGCTTGCCAACAACCAGGACATCATGCGAAGAAATGTCCTATGAGACAACCTCAAGTGGAGAGTTGTCTAGTGTGTAAAACCCCGGGAGTGACGTTCCTAACCTGTACAAGTTGTGCAACACTTAGGACATGTTTGGGAAACGGCACGTGGGGGGCACAACACCCTTTTGTACCCCCCCTCTGCCCGAAGGGATCTTAGGCCAGGGAAGAGTAGAGAAGGTTGAATACCCAATTAACGATGGTGCGACTTGTAGTTGGGTAAAAACAGAGATCGAGTTAGAGTTAGAGAGAGAGAAAGTCTGTAGAGAAGAGTTAACCGAGAATGATGTGTTCAAATTTGTGCCAAGCGACAGTAGGGCTAGATCGAGTGAGGAGAACTCACTCCATTGGAGGCCAGAGAAAAGTGTTAGTAAGGAATGTAGGACTAAAAGTACGGGAGTGGGTCCGGTACCTAATGTCCTGGGGAGGGGAAAGGCTGTGATGGACACAGCTGACCCAAACCTGATTATGGTTGAGAAGTTGGATGGATCCAGGACAAAGAATAGATATTTCTTTAGGATGGCCGTTGGCGATAAACCATATGAAGCATTATTCGACTCCGGAGCAACGATTTCGGTAATCAGCTCCAAAGTAGCCGAACCTTACAAGGACCGAATACAGCCGTCCAGATCAGCAATTAGGAGTGCATTAGGGGGCACCACCAAAAACGCTGGACTTTTGAATTTAACCATGGTAGTCGATGGCTATGTACAGAAGTTTGAGGTCATGGTCATAGAGTCATTGACACCTGACGTCATACTGGGGGTTGATTTTTGTAAAGCCTGGAAAATGGAAGTCCAGTTAGGCCAGGGTTTATGGAGAGTATTCGGTGGAGAGTGGCACGAATTTGACAAGAGTGAAGACACAGACAGTGGAGAAATAATAATTGCAGAGTGTGCTGGCATCTCCGCATTGGATGATGAGCAGAGACAGATTGTCCAAGCCATAGTGGATCGTTGGGTACTGCCAGAAACAGACGAACTTGGAGTAACCAACCTAACAGAACATCACATCCGTGTGACGGATGAGACACCTGTCCAACATCGGCCGAGACGGATGTCACCGATCATGATCACATGGGCGCAGGAAAACACGCAGAAACTTTGGAAAAAAGGTATCATCGAACCGTCTGCGGCCCAGTGGAGAAGCGCGCCAGTTATTGCCAGAAAGGGAGAGAACGATTTTCGGCAGTGCATGGATTACAGAGACGTGAACAAGGTCACGGTGAAGGATGCGTACCCCATACCGACGATCGACTCCATCTTGGATAAACTCAGAAGAGCAAAATTCTTGTCAAAAATCGACTTGAAACTCGCGTATCATCAGATACCAATGGCCGAAGAGAGCAAGAAGTATACTGCTTTCGCAATTCCAGGGTCAGGATTGTGGCAGTATCGCAGGATGCCGTTTGGGCTAACGAACGCCCCAATGACGTTCCAGCGTCTTATTGACGCACTTTTCGGGCCAGAGTTTGAACCATTTGTCTTCGGATATCTGGACGATATCATAGTAGTCACGGATACTTTTGAGGAACACATCAAATGGTTAGAGATAGTGTTGAGAAAGCTAAATGAGGCCAGACTAGTTGTGAATCCAGAGAAGTGTGAGTTTGGATGCTCTAGGGACACATATTTAGGGTATCTCTTGGACAGCGAAGGACTCAGGCCAGACCCGAAGAAGATCGAACCAGTCATGACTTATCCAGAACCGAAGAACATAAAACAACTTCGTCGTTTCTTAGGCATGGTTGGTTGGTACTCCAGATTTATTCCTAACGACAGTGATATCAAGATACCTTTGGTCAGATTGCTGCATAAAGGACGGACGTGGGAGTGGGGAGAAGAACAACAAGAGGCGTTTGAAAAGCTTAAAGAGAAGCTCACTTCGGCACCAGTGTTGGCTCGCCCAGATTTCACCAAGCCCTTCACTATACAGTGCGATGCCAGCGATTACGCCATTGGAGCGGTATTGACACAGGAATTTGAGGACGGAGAACATCCGGTCATGTACATAAGTCGAGTCCTGACTGAGGCCGAGAGAAATTACAGCGTGACAATGTCACGGTCAATTAAAAAGTTTAGACCTTATATTGAGGGATACAAATTTCATGTGATTACCGATCACAGCGCCCTCAAGTGGCTAAGGAATTTAAGAGATCCAACAGGTCGTTTAGCGAGATCGGCACTGGAAATGCAACAGTGGGACTTTGACATAGTTCACAGAAAGGGTGCACAACATCATGTCCCAGATGCATTGTCCAGATTACAAGAGAGTGAAGAAGAGTTAGTGTCCGCGTTTGAAACCATTGATGACCAATGGTACCTCAAGCGCCGAGAGTTAGTGACCCAGCACCCTCAACGATTTCCAGAATGGACAGTGGAAAATGATAACCTTTATCGCCATAGAAGTGATCCACTTTTAGTGCCGATAGTAGGAAACGAGGATGGGTGGAAATTGGTCGTCCCAGAAGAGTACAGAGAAAGAGTTATGGAGGACGCGCATGCGCAAGCGTCAGCTGGTCATCTGGGAATAGAAAAGACCTATGATCGCGTGGCAAGAGAATACTATTGGCCAGGTATTTGGAACGATGTGCACAATCTCGTGACGCATTGCATACAATGCCAAGTACATAAAGTTTCTCAAGCGGGACCAGTAGGTATGATGGGCCAGAGGATAGTCGAAAGACCGTGGTCAGTTGTAGCAGCGGACACAATGGAGTTTCCACCGAGTAAGAATCGTTATAAATACTTGGTGGTGTTTCAAGATTTATTCTCGAGGTGGGTTGAGGTTAAACCCCTCAGGTCAGCAGATGGAAAGTCGGTAGCCAGAGCGTTTGAGGAGTTGGTGTTATTTCGATGGGAAACACCAGAATATTTCCTATCAGATAACGGTAAAGAATTTGACAACAAATTTCTAAAGTCAACCTTAGAAGAATATGGAGTCAAACATATTACAACACCACCTTATCAGCCCCAGGCCAACCCAGTTGAAAGAAGTAACAGAACATTAAAGACGATGATATCTACTTTCATCGGGGCCGATCATCGTGACTGGGACTTGCATATTCACGAGTTTCGTCACGCAATGAATACCGCGACACAAGCTGCGACTAAAACGTCCCCTGCGTTTCTTAACTATGGTCGACATCCTAGGCCAGTCAAAAGTTTGCGTAGAGAAATTGAAAAGAGAGATAAAGTGGTTAGAATCAATCCAGATGAGTGGATAGATCGGGTTAAAAGATTAGATGCGCTGAGAGATTTAGTAGCGAGACTAATTGACAAAGAGCGAGAGAGGCAAACCAAATATTATAATAAAGGCCGTAGAGAGGGTATATTTAAATTAGGAGATATGGTGTTGCGTAGAACACACAAACTGTCTAGTGGTACCCAAAGGTTCGCAACTAAGTTAGCACCCAAATTCGAAGGGCCCTATGAGATAGTCGAAGTGTTATCGCCCACCGTATTCGTGTTACGCGCCGAAGACAGCCGTAGAATCCCTAAAGTTCACGTGACTGACTTAAAGCGATATCTCCCACCAAGGGGATAATAGTGACATAACTAATTGTATTGTGGTTTGCAGAGAGACGTGAGAGAGAGCAGAGAGGCCAGAGAGATAGACGAAGGAGAAAAATGCCTTACGACCGCATCGGGCAGAGAGGGATGGAGAGAAGTCGCCATCGTCCATCGACGGACTTCGGTGTGGAACCGCGAGGCCAAGGACGAATGACGAGAAGTCGTAGTCAATCCGCCCATAGGCCAGGGGGCGAGTTCCAACCGGACACGACGGCTACGAGAGGGGCATCATTACTGATGTTCCCTAATAGAGATGTGCCGCTTCCAAAACCGTTAGAACCGGTGAGACCAGGAGAGGGTAAAACCAAGAGGCCAGAGAGAGAGTCAGGAACGGAGGAAGGTGCAGTGGGTGGAGCAACAGGCCAAAGAAGGAGGGAAGAGAGACGGGAGGATCTCCGGGGATTAGAAGGGTTCGAGAGACAACAACTCGCAGTCTCCCACAATCAGAACAAAGTGGAGATCGTGGTCCCGTATACTTGGCCAGCAGAGAGAAGCAAGGGGGAAAGCGAAGAGGCGTATGAGAGCCGCCTTGCAGAGCACGAGTTGGAGAGTTTCCTCCGTCACGGGTCGGTGTACCCGACGAGAGATTTGGCCCGGCTAAAGAGTCGCCAAAGTGAGGCCAAGTCGGCCAGACAGAAGCCAGCCTTGAGGAAAGAGGACATGGAGAGCACGGCACCGACCCCGAGGGAAGCGCGTTCGCATTCCCCGCATCCAGGACCGCCTAATCGTCGGGAACCGGAAAAGAGAGAAACGGCAAATTCAATGAGCGCTCATTCTTCACGGGATTCCCGAAATGTAGTGACACAACGGCCAGAGAGAGTAGAGGAGAATAGAAGTAGTGAGGTGGGAACGAAGAGAGCACCGCTGAAGATCAAAACTTCAGGAGTGATCTTCGGGAATTTAAAGGCAATTCCCACGGTTAGTGCAATCGACCCCCCACCATACACCTGTTTCCAGTGTTGGAGGTTCGACCATAAGCTGGAAGCCTGTCGGAATACCAAAAGATGGCCATATTGCCTAAATTGTGTTCGTCGATTGGTAACGGTCGAGACTTGTCCGCGTTGTGCAGAGGCATACGCAAGGAGAGGGAAAGAAGTGGTTGACCGAGTCGAGCGGGTCAACAAGCGAGAAGAGACAGAGGCAAAGAAGCCAACAAGTTAAGAGACCCCAACAGGAGAAGGCGAGGACAGAGAAGTGAGGGAGAAGGGCGGTGATGACGATCTAATATCAAAGATCTTAGAGATCACGAAAGCCCTAGCGGGACTTCCGGCCTCCACCATAGACAAGCCCATAAACCAGCTGCTGGAGGAGAGGAGGAAGTAGTTGGAAAGGAGGGCGGACGTGTAGGAGGGAGTTTCCGGCCAGAGAGAGAGAGAGAGGAGTTCGGACAGAGAGAGAGGAAAGGAGTAGGCCAGAGTGAGAGAAGGAGGGACAGACGGACAGAGAGAGAGTAACGGGCGAACCATGGCCAGAGAGAATCGAAGGAGAGGACCATGGTTGCAACGGATTTGGTAAGAAATAAAACCTTTTTATATTATAATTTTTTTGTTGTTGTCATATGACGATCCTACCAGGAGTAGTTCCGGTCATGGGGAGGGGATTGTGACGGAGTGAATCGTCACGACATCTCTGATCGATCCCTGATCCTGCGCCGGTACTAGGCTGCGGTAAAGTAGGGATCAAGCGGCGGGTGACCTACTAGTAATTTAAATGTGTGTCACTCGCTCGAATAATTTTGATTATTAGTTCTATATATGGGTCACTGCCACTGTGGAGCGAGAGAGAAGGAGCGAAGCTGCAGTGACGGTGGAGAGAGAGAGAGACAGAGATATAACGAAGCCAGTGGGATGAGGCATAGCGAGACGCAAAAGATCCCAATGCTTTTTCGGCCATTACGAATCGATTACGATCCTGTCGCGGAGATATACGCACGAGCGAGTGTGTTACACGAGGCGGAACTCGTGGAGTAAAATATGTACCCAGATATATTTTTGATTGTGTAATAAACAATATTGAGTTGTTGTAAAGAGGGTGACTATTTTGTAAGGAAATAAAGTGATTGTGTTGAACAGAAACTTGTGTGTAGTGTTTGATAGTAGCAGTAAGGACTTTCCACAGAGTTGCTGAGAAGCCGAGAAGCCCGGACACGTGGTCAGGGATATCGTCGTGGGTAAGTCGTCTTATTGTCCAGGTCGTGTCTCGCCGCTGGCATTTCTGCTTACCGGTGTTTTGGCAGAATTCCCTCTGGAGATTGAGAGTGTCTCAGAGGTGTTGTTTGTTGTCGTTGTTGTAAGATAGTTTATTAATTCACTTTAAAATTAATTGGCGCCTGACGGCGAAAATTTATATAATAAATTTTCTATATTTTTATTTAGTTGAGGCCAGTGATTTTGACGTCAAGCAGATAAATTAAATTTATTTAATTTACACGTCACATAATATAGTTTCTTTAAATCTTTAATATCTTAAAAAATAATAATTTGACAAAGATTTTACTTTTACCATTAGTTTTTAAATAATTTTTACTTTCATGTGACATATAATTTTTACTTTAATATTGTTAATTTAAGCAATTAAATAAAATAATTTATATTATTTTATATAAAAAATGAAAAATATGGTTAATTAATTAAACTGTAGTTTACATTTATTTTTAATATTGTTAATAAAAGAAAAATCTTTAAATTTGAATTAAATTAATAATTGAATTTATTCTACCTATGCATTTTTATAATTTTAGGGTTTCTATATTAGTGTGTAGTTTAGACATTCATATACACACATATACATACATGTATATATATATACTCATTCTCCTGAGTGCAAATGTACTCATGAAAACAGTATTTTTCTTTCTTATATTTTTCTTTACCCATGTACGTATATATATATATATATATATATATATATATATATATATATATATATACCAAAATGAAACGTTATATTTTTGAAATTATATGGTACTCTACATTTGCCTTTATCTGCATTTAAATAAATATAATCTTTTAACTATTGGAATAACTCTTCAACATTCTCATCATAATGAGAAAGTATTTACATTTGTCTGACTTGACCTATCCCTTATTCCAGTGAATCTCCACGTTTTGAGACTTCCTGATGCCAAAAAATAGGTTTTTTCAAAAAATATCTCTGTGTATTAATTAACACAAACAACAGTAATTTACTCATATTTTTTTAAGTCCAAAATTACTTTTCACTTTTTGATTTAAGCGAAGAGTATATTTAAGTTATATATATATATACCCAGATAACACACGTACTAGTACGGTAGTAGTATAATACTAGTACGACGTACTAGACGTACTAGTACGACGTACTAGACGTACTAGTACTGTACCAGCCATGTACCTTCGCACGGTACCAGGTACTGTACTAGTACGGCGTACCGGTATGCAATATCGGTAGAATACGAGTACTATACGAGTACGACGTACTGAAAACTTTTGTGACTTAGTATAACGTACTGTTATTGTACTGGTACAATACTAGTATGATGTACAATATAAAATATTATATACCCTCCCCTTTCTCTTCCCACAATAGTATTTTCATTATTTTCATTTATTATTCAAAAGAAAATCTGTGGGAGAACTGAAATAATAATAATTCATTTTTATTGAATCATTTTTTTTATTTACATCATATATGTAACTTGTATTCTCACTTATCTTAAAATATCTGGTGTTTTATATTATTTTAATTACTTAACTTTATCAAATATTAGTTGATTATTTCTTTACATTTAAACATTATTTCAAAAGAATTTTAAACTTGATTTTATAAATTGCTTTGAAATTTGCTTTGAAAAACATATTATCACATCCTAACCTATAAATATGTTATATGTATAAGAAAAACTATAACGAAATAACACACAATTGAATTTAAAAATATATCAATATGATCAAGACCGAATTTATGAATTTTTCTCATTATAAATGTAAAAGATTTTGATGTTTTTCAATGAAATAACACCATGGCACCATGTCAAAGTAAAAGAATATAAATCTTATAAAGATCGATAATTTAATATAAATTTAATCTTGGATATTCAAGATGAGTACAGAAGCACAAGTTACAAACGTTAAAACTCTTTTGCTGCATCATAAACGACTTTTTTCACCAACATTTAATGCACCGTTTTCAGTGACGCGTTCATATTTGACAATTGTCAAGAAAGTGAGGTTGGGTTGGCATTACCAGCAAAGACTCCCAGTACGACGTACCAGTATTATACTTGTATCGTACAAGTATGTTGTGCTTCTTATTTCAGAAGTACGACGTACTGGTATTGTACTAGTACTATACTTTTATCGAGTAATCATATTTTACAATTCTAACAGTACGACATACTTTTATTGTACTAGTACCGTACTGGTACGACATATATAATTATTTTGTACTTGTATAAAACTAGTATAATACTAGTACGCCGTACTCGTAAATAACGATTAGTACGCTTGGTTATCTGGGTATATATATATGTTACTGTAAAAGCTCGAAGTTGGTAAATGTGCACATTTACTGGTTAATGTGCACAATTACCAATGCAGTTGGTAAAAGTGTGAAATGTCTGTTTTAAATTAAAAATTTCGTACATTTACCAAGTAAATTGGTAATTGTGCACAATCACCAACAGAAATTGGAAAATGTACGAAATGTCTAAATTGAATCAAAGATTTCTCACTCGTACCAACTACCTTGGTAAATGTAGATAGTTTGTTTTGTTTATATTTCAATTAAATAGTAATCAAATGCCTATAAAGGAAACAGAATAATTAGAATAGAATGTTTATTCTGCTAACCTCAGTATTTCGTTTAGTTCGCTTTCGACAGTGAAATTGCGAGTATATTTTAAATTTTGCCTGTAAAAATGAGTGAAGAAATTGTAATTTCCGAAGTGAAAAAAAAATTTTATGAAATTGCAACAAAGATTATAGAAGGGAAAAAAAATAATTCTGTTTATTTGTCGGAAGTAGAGTATAATAAGGTGTTGAAAGAAGTGTGTGATGCGAAATTAAAAATAAAAAAGAAAACGAGTGCTGATTTTCGACGTTTGCGTCGATATGACGTGATAACAATATAAATAAATAAATAAAACTTTTCCAATTTATTTTTTTGTAAATGTCAATAATAACGATTAAAGTTATAATATAAATAATATCAGACAAAATTTTAAACTATCTACATTTACCAAGGTAGTTGGTACGAGTGAGAAATCTTTGATTCAATTTAGACATTTCGTAAATTTTCCAATTTCTGTTGGTGATTGTGCACAATTACCAATTTACTTGGTAAATGTACGAAATTTTTAATTTAAAACAGACATTTCACACTTTTACCAACTGCATTGGTAATTGTGCACATTAACCAGTAAATGTGCACATTTACCAACTTCGGGCTTTTACCGTAACATATACATATATATATATATATATAGCAGTGAAAAGCGTGGTTGTGCTTAAAGTCGTCGGGAATTGAGTTCATAAAAATTGTTAAATATGGGGCATTCTATGGGAAATTTTCATTGAAAATTTTTTTTGTCCAAAAAACATTTTTTTCGAAATCTATATGAAAAATAAGGAAATACGTATTTTTTTATTTTTTTATTTTATGAAAATGAAGGAAGTTATGATTTTTTGAAATTTAACGTCAACGAAGAAAGTGTGTTTTTGGAAGATTTTTTAATCTATTGTACTAATAAATTAAAAATTATGCTATATATGAAATTTGTTCATTTTTTCTCAAATTTTTAAATATGTGCTAAAAAATAACGTACCTATAACAGAAACAACAAAAAAGTTAAAATTAAACTTATAAAGTGAGTTTTCTCAAAAGAGACACTTTCAATTTTTAATTTTTTTTTTTGCATTACAATCTCTGATGACTGAAGAATTTTTTCCCCTATCTGCGAAAGTGGTACTTTTAGTTTTTAAATTACTATTTACAATTTTTAAGCTTGACGCAACGATTTTTAGTATGTTTTTATGAAAATTAAAAAAAAACAAATGAATGTTAATGGGAAAAGGTTATATTTGTAGAAAAAATGCTTAAATTCTGTGAACCGTACTAAAAAAATTATAAATAGTAATTAAAAAACTAAAAATACCACTTTCGCAGATAGGGGAAAAATTTCTTCAATCATCAGAGATTGTAATGCAAAAAAAAATTAAAAGTCGAAAGTGTCTCTTTTGAGAAAACTCACTTTATAAGTTTAATTTCAACTTTTTTGTTGCTTCTGTTATAGGTACGTTATTTTTGAGCACATATTTGACAAATTTGAGAAAAAATGAACAAATTTCATAAATAGCACAATTTTTAATTTCTTAGTACAATAGATTAAAAAATGTTCCAAAAACACACTTTCTTCATTGAAGTTAAATTTCAAAAAATCATAACTTCCTTTATTTTCATCAAATGAAAAAATAAAAAAATACGTATTTCCTTATATTTCATATAGACTTCGAAAAAAATATTTCGGACAAAAAAAAATTTTCAATGAAAATTTCCCATAGAATGCCCCATATGTAATTGTAATAATAATACCTTCAAGGAACACTAGGTAGGTGTCCCCCTCCGATTTCATTCATCTTGATATATGTTGTAGTACTCGAAAAACTAATCAACACGTATATTTTTTTATCAGCAATGGTGAACATTTAAGGGGTGAAAACCACCCCTAAAGTTTTTACGGAAATATAGAAATTTCACAAAATAAAGAAAAATTTGCAGATTTTTGCAGAAGAAATACATTTTTTTGATAAAGTATTTTATTTGAAATAAAATGTTTTTAGGGGTTGTCTACCCCAATCCACCCTACGAACAAAAGATAAAGACTATTGCGATGGTTTTTCAGGACCTAAACATTCTTAATTTGCATGTAAAAATGCAGTTAAAATCGTAAAAAAGTATTATTTTAACGGAAAAAAATTTTTTAGGGGTAGTTACCCCCAGAAAATAAAATTCCAGTCTTGAAAATATTTTCAAAATGGGAAGAAAGTATCCCTCTTAGGGATCATTCATAAATTACGTCACACCTTAAGGGGGAGTGGGGATCAAATAATTTGTGACAACCACACTGAGAAAAAAGCACTATTGATTCAATAGTGCCGATGCTATTGAAATCAATTTTTTTGAAACAATAACATATTTTTTGAATCAAATAAAAATAT